AGAAACTCTGATGCCCACATTACACACCCCTTCAAAAAGAAAAGCCTCCAAGAATTTGATTCAACCCCTCCTTTCAAAACTTCTGAAATGTGTCACCTTAGAACAGTTATAAATGCGGTTAAAGATATTATCTAATTCCACTTACCAGGACTAAAAAGCTTACACCTACTTCCTTGGAAAGTGCTTATTTATTTGGCAACGCCATGGTTTAAAAAAAAAAAAAAAGGAGTAAAATCACTCCTTGCCTGCAAAGCCTCCTCCCTTCCCCCAATATAATGTCATCTACTTCCTGTGTAGGAGAGAGCCTCTGCTAAATCCAGGTTGTCTCATACTTAACTGCCAATAAACCAACTTCCACATAACTTCCAGACAGCTGGGGAAAAGGTCCTCGGAGTTTTAGTCATGGTCCAGAAACACGCGTCCGCACAAAAATTTGCAGCTGTCCTTTCTCTACAGTGCATTTTTAATGTGATTCGGGGGCCCCCGTTGTGAAACATCTGACAAAATGTAAAATCCTCTTAGATACCTTCTCGTTTACCCACTGTGCATGTGTAAGAGAAGTTGCACCCGGATTTCTCAACCAAGGAAAATCTAGGCACTTTCTGCATGCACACAGGCACCTCGTGGGATGTGAGGAGGCATTCAAAACCTGCAAAGGCTTCTACTGTAATCTTTGAAAGCACAGCCTCTGGTGCAACTATTAAAATGCTAGTTTTCTAAAGCAAATATTTTTTTAATGGCGCGCAGAACTGCAGTTATCCTGGGCTGCTAACAGAACAGCATTCTTGATCTGCCAGCCCCCGGAAACCTTCCTGTAACTTTTTCACAGCTTGCTAAGAAACAGAAAGCTGACCAGCTTCCAGCAGTGACTCTAAATGAAATCCATATCAGTAAAATTAAAATCAAACTGGAAAACTCCTAGCAAGAACCGGGATTGTCTGCCTCCGAATCTTTTCTCAGATAGGGGGCATCAGTAAAAGCTACTTCCCTTGAGCAGTCCAAAGTTTCCAAAAACACTTCTTCCAGATAAGCACTTCAGGCCCCCCAGCTGCCTAACAGCTTGTTTCTGGGGGTTCAGAAAGCTTTAACTTCAACAAACTGCAAAGCGCTGGCACATTAAATTTATAATCATTAAAATATGACTTATTGGGTGAATGTTGAGCCCATAATCCATACTGCAGACATTAAACCCCAACCTATAAAGATTAGCACAGAATTAATACTGCTGCATTGAGATTGGAATCTAAACATGTTCGCCATAAATATTTCTGAAGGAGATGAAAAACAATTAGCATAAATACCAAAGAAGGGCAAGAACACCTGTTCTTTTTCAGGGCGATAAGCATTTTATTGTTCTCTATTTAAAATGTAATGACCTGTGTAATTACAGTAATATTACATTGTTATGTAGGGGCTTGGAATGTCACACTTTGAAAAGTGTTGTCAAAACAATCAGGGGTGAAGGTGGGGGGTGAGGGGTGAGGGGACAACCAGGGAAGGACCACCATTAACCCTTCACACTCTAAGGTCTAGACCTTTTGTATTAGAAAGGATTATGTTGTTTGAGTGAGGAAAAAACATCCATTTTTCCCAAGCCAGAAAGAGAAGATGTTTGCCCGGCTAAGTTAAAACCCCAATGAATAGGCCCCTCTTGGTTTCTTTTACATGCTGGATTCCAAGTTCAAAAATGAATTCAAGATGCTGCTTATTTATCTGTTCAACCCAGTAGCAAACAGCTCAGTTAAAAAGCAACTAACTTTGGGATAAAAGAAGATGCGAGAGCTCTAATTATCAAGTCTTAAAAAGAAATCTCAGACCTAACTAGAATCGCAACCACCCTATTCCTACTTCTCGTTTGGCAAGAGGGAAAAAGAAACGTGAAACTACTTTTTCCTATCAACTTTAATATGGTAACAATACTCTTATCTTTAGTATACAAATGTTACCACAGTTCTAATATTTGCTGTTCTATCACTTCCCAGCTACTTAACCAGACCTCTCTCCTTAATGTAGTTTTGTATTCGAATCTGTCTTTTTAAAAGCCCTTCCTATTACTGTATCAAAGACTAAATTAATGTTATGCAGAAAGCTCTGTCGGTTTTAAAATAAAATTATTACTATCGAGCTTTAGGGCGTCTTCGGCAATTAAAGCATTATTCTTGAGATAATGTATTATTCATCATAGCTGATTTAACGATACTCCCTAATTCTTTACATTCTTAAATAGAAAAGCAGAAATCAGGGATCCGAAGAGTTTGCTTTTTTTAAAGGATGCAGCTGCTTACAGGTACACTAATAAGGAACAGAAACCATAGCAAACACACCACAACCAAGGAGGGCCGGGAAAAGAAGAAAGCATCCAGCTAGTTTGTCTTTACACCTTGCCCTCAAAAACACACTCTATGGAGCACTAAGAATTTCAGATGAGCATGAAAAGACCCCTTTCTTGCCTATAGATGCCCTCGGCAGCTGTATCAAATCTGGAATTGCAAGCTGGTCCTCTGATCGAAGACGTCAGGAGTGACACGCAACCGCCTCTCGTCCCCATTTCTATTGCTCTGCTTACCGGCCTAAATAAATAACTTTAATTTTGGAGCACAGGATCTAACCCAGGTAACAGGGAGGAAGGAGGAAGGGGCAGTACACGCAAAGATGTCTGTTGGTGTTTGACATGCAAATCTCAAAACTGCCTACTGAGTTCAGAAATGTCCTCTCATACTCGATCTGATGTCACAGCACAAGGCCACCCGCTACGTCCACAATTAAAATAACTACAGCGGTCTATTCCAATAATGCCCACAAAGGGAACTGAAGGTTGGGAGCCTTCCTTTTCGCACCAGGAAATCATTTATTTGCCTTTAACAATTTCCCTGTTTCCTAATTACAGCACAACACAACTGTTCAAGTTTTAGGCGACAGTGTGGCAAGATTGTCAGCGGTCAGACTGGGAGTTTGAAAAGAGTCAAGAAGGCCAAGAAGCCCGCCATCAAAGCTCAATACTCAAATGGCCCTTCGGATGGCTAAGTGGATTTTTAAATAATAACAGAGAAGAATACATCGAAGGGGGAGGGGAGGAGAGGAAGAAATTCTCAGGGTTACTTTGGAATGTGGCTTGGTCGGGTTGGTTGGTATACAAACCCTCTGATTCTGAGCCGAATGCTCCCGGTTTAAGATGCCCACGAGCTCCCAAGAAAAATACAACGTAACCGGTCTGTGCTTCCCCTGCAGCTGCAACCCCACAGCCCGGCCCCTGCAGCCTGAAGGAGCTGGCCCTGTAGGAGGAGGTCGGGCTGAAACGCTCTACCAGCTTCCCAAGCATGCAGAAGCCTGGGTACAGGGAAGGAGGGAGGGGGGATAATTATTTCTCTTTCCTAGCCATAAAAAATGACCGTTCTGGCATGCCCTTGCCCTTTTTGCCAGGGCCCAAAAAACAAGTAAAACCTGATAGTTAATATTTTAATGCTTAAAAACACTTGTAGATCGGATCGCCTCCCGTCCAGCCAGCCCTCGGCCATTAGCTCCGAATCCACGGCGGCTGAACACTGGGTACATTATTTCAAATTGCTATCTCGAGTTACCGAAAAAGAAAAAAACAAAAGTAGTGTGTGTAAATAAGGGGTAGGAGGACCAAACCAGAAAAGGTGCAAAATGACAATCCCGGGAAACCCGGCAAAACGTCCAGAGGTGGCTTCTAGAGATTAGCAATCCAGGCTTTTTGGAGGAGGTTGGGATTGGGGGGAGGGGGTGGAGGGAGGGGTTCAGGGCGAGGGCAGGGGGCAGAGGCCGGGCGGAGAAGGAGATGAGCCTTATTAACAAAAGTCAGGGGTGGGCGCGGAACGCACGCTGCGGGAAGCACCCGCGGAGCCTGGCACCCCGTACCGCCCTGGGGCCCCCAAAGTTGGGTGGCCCGCGAGAAGCAGCCCACTTCCTTGAAGGAGAGGCGCCCTTGGCCTCCCTCACCTTCTACACATCCTTGGGCCGGCAAACCCTGGTCTCTGATCCACCCCCCGGGGCCCACTGAGGGCCTTCTCGGAAGCTGGCGAACGCAGACCCGGCTATAAACCCCAAGGCACCAAAATTCCCTAGAAATACATCGAGTCCGCTCAGAGGAGGCCATCCCCGCTGTACACAAACCAAGAACCCGGTCACAGGGGCCTCGCCATTCCGCGCGGCCCGGGAGAGCCCGCAGCCCGCGCGCCGGGCAGCCGAGTCCACCACCGCGCCCAGGGCGCTCGCGGCCCTGCGGGGTTGCCAAAGAAAAGCCAGCCCAAAGCCCCCAAGTTTGCAGTGGGACCAGTCTGGGAAGCGTGACCTGCCAGGGGAAAGGGGGGAGGGGGACTGAGAGCCAGCGATCACCACTAGAAAGCTAAATAAATAACCAGCCGAAAGAGAAAGCCGAGGCGCTTCTCCAGGGCCCCGGGCTCCGCGCGCTCGCTACTTCTCCAATCCAACGCCTGCAGGAAAATCCACTCTCTACCCCGCGCGTCGGGCGCAGCCCAGTCACTCGGGCCCTGGCAGCGGTAGCCAAGGGGTTAACCGGGGAAAACCCAAGACGCCACAGAAGAGGGAAGGAAGAGAGAGAGGGAGAGAGAGAGAGAGCGAAAAGAAAGAGCCACACAGTCATCTTCCCAGGGTGAAGAAACAAACACCACCACCACAGGGGGAGGGGGGAATCAGAGCGCAAAAAAAAAGTTCTTCTCTTTCCCCCCGACCCAACAAAGCCCTGCTTGGAAAGAAAGGTCTCCCCAACATCACGAGGCAGCAAACTGAAAGCAAGAACATGGCGAAGTGCAAACAAATCCAGTCCACAAAAGGCAGAAAAGTTTGGAGAGTTTCGGGCTGCCTGGGCCGCGAGCGGGGGAGGGGAGGCGGGGAGGGGAGGAGGCGGGGGGGGGCGGGGAGGGAGGGAGAGAGGGAGGGGGGGGAGGGGGCAGGGCAGGGGCCGCATGCGGGGCCGGGCAGGCGGGCGGCGGGCGGGGGCCGGGCGCAGAGGCACTTACGGTTCGGGCGGTGGGCGAGAGCGATCCGTTGGGGAGGTAGGGGCTCGTCAGGTCGGGGATCATGATGAAGGGGTAGCCGGGATACGGTGGCCCCTTAAAGAGCCCTCCATCTTGCCTCTTGGCCGCTAACATGGCGGGGCGGCGAGGGGACGGCGGCGGCCGCGCCGAGCGGGAGAGAGCGAGGAGAAACTTTTTAGAAAGTGCCTCAAGTAGCCGGGCGCCCCGGCAGGGCCGGCGCGCGG